GAGTGACCCCAAACTGGGTGCAGTATTCCACGGTCTTACAAAATAAAGGCTTGATAAACTAACTCCTGTTACGGAAGTGAGAGACATTGAGCTGTTTAAGACAAACACTGTTCTATACGCCAGCATTTAAATATTTGCCTACTGGGGTTTGCATTCACTTCTATATTTGCCGGACTGAAAGAGAATCGGAGGCATGCAGGAAACCTGAGAGCAAACCAGAAAAAAAAAAAAAAAGGGTACGTTAGCGGATCAGTGACCCACAAACCACGAAAGATTATTCAAACAGACAGCAGAACAGGACGTTCCCCTCTGCACAATAATAGGAAGTCCGATGCATCCTTCTAAGCTTACAGAAAGTGCCCAGAAATGGCAGGATTTAAGGTGCAGGCGGACGACGTGCAGCTATTCACTGAGGGATGATTTGAAGACGGTGTAAGGCAGGGGTGTCAAACTCAGGGGCCGCGGGCCGAATCTGGTCCGTGGGTTGCTTAAACCCGGCCCGTGGGGCCTGCCTGGAAATAGCAAGAGACCGTCCCGCGGTGCCTCTGCCTTGTTTTCACCCTCCATGGCCTCCAGCAGCGCTCTTGCGGGCCAAAACCTGCCGAAACCGAGTCAAAAAACGGGCCCAAAACGGGGGGGGGGGGGGAGGAAATGGGCTGGAAAACAGGCCAATACAGCTGAGAAATGGGCCAAAAAGAGGCCATGTAGCCTGTTTCTGACCAGCAGAGTGCTGAAGGAGGCCACGGAGGGTGAAAAGGAGGTGCAGGGGTCCAGAACGTTATAAGGTCTCCTGTTCATGCAGGGGGTTGGACTAGAAGACCTCCAAGGTCCCTTCCACCTCTGTTATTCTATTCTATTCTATTCTATTCTATTCTATTCTATTCTATTCTATTCTATTCCATTCCATTCCACTCCACTCTACTCTATTCTATTCTATTCTATTCTACTCTACTCATTTCTATTCTATTCTATTCTATTCTATTCTATTCTATTCTATTCTATTCCATTCCATTCCATTCTACTCTACTCTATTATATTCTACTCTATTCTATTCTATTCTATTCTATTCTATTCTATTCTATTCTACTCATTTCTATTCTATTCTATTCTATTCTATTCTATTCTATTCTATTCTATTCTATTCTATTCTATTCTATTCTATTCGA